ACGCTTAGACCCCGAGAGGGCGACTGGGAGCGTCCAACCACCGTTAGCACGACGCTGAGTGGTGCGCTCGACTGGGGCAACCCAGCGGAGATGGGCGAAGTCGAGCCTGGGGCACACACGCTCGTAGCCGGGACAGGCAGTGAAACCACGACATCGGATGAAGATATCGGCGGTGGGCGAGTAGCCGCGACTGACGAAGTCACCGGAGGACCAGAAGACGAAGAACCCGCCGAAGTCGTCGAAGCAACTGCAGGAACGGTGTCGGCGGGCGGCTCAGGCAACTCAAACTCAAACTCAGCTTCGCTCGAAGCGTCATCGTCGTCTTCAGAGCGAGCCGAGACAGCGGGCTGAGTAGCAGAGCTCAGCTGAAGGTGACGAACCTTCTTCCGCCGAGTCCGACGACGGGACTTTCCAGAGCGAGGCCTTCCTCCATCGGATACAGTAGCTTGAGGTGAACTTGAGTGCAAAAGGGTACTGATAGCCTCGTGTCCATTCTCTCCGGGGAGTGGACAAGCGTACGGTTGAGGCGGATGCGGCGCCGGTGCACGATGACGAGGACCTGCAGCAGTGGGAGACTTGGGGTTGGCATTGCGCCGAAGCCGCTGAGTCGAGGTCAAGTCTGCCAAAGGCGTACGGTGAAGCTGAGCAAGAGTCGGCTCAGCCTGGGTTGTTACCGCCGCTGAGCTGACTGGAGCCGCAGCCGAGTCTGCCAATGAAGTCGCCGAAGACGCTTGACTAGCTGAGGGAACCACACTAGGACCAATAATGGAACTCGCCACTGGAGCATCTCGGCGAGTATGGACAATCAACTCCAACCGCCGAGTTTCACCAGCGGGGATGTTGAGAACCTCAGGAAAGCGAGACTCCAAGACACGACACAGCCGGGCGTTGAGGAGAAGGTCGGACGGATCAAGTCCAGGAACTTGCAAGCCACCGCCAGCAGCAGCAGCCATGTGAGGATCGTGCATCGGAATAATACCATTCCGACGGATGAGCCGCTTCTGTCGCAAGATCACAGCCCGCTGCTCAGCGATCACCGACTGAGCGTGCCGCAAGGGTTGAGTACCGGTGGAACTGTACAACCGCACCGACTCCTGCAGCTGTTCGAAGTACTTGGAAGGAATGCCCTGAAGAGTGATGAACGCCGCATCCCTCTCAGAAATGGATCGGAGAAGGACGTCGATCTCGGCGTCCCGATCCAAGACTTGCTGATAGTGGAGCTGGGCCTGACCCAACGCAGCGTCAACCTTGCTCTGCTCAGCTGCTATGGCCCGAGCAAGTTTTGCTTCACTCAGAGCTACAGCCTTTCGCAGCGACGCGAGGAGATTAGCCGATTCCGGGGCAGCAGCCTCCAATCGAGACACTTGCTGTTGAGCCGACGAGAGCTGAGTTGACAAGTCGACATTGCTGAGAGCAAGCGAGTCCAGTCGCCGAGTCAGTGCGCGGTTCTCCTCCTGAGCAGCTTGATTGTAAGCTTGGAGATCGCCGATGATCTTTGGATAATCAAGAGCGGCGTAGTTGCCTTTCAAGATATCCAACTGTTCCCCCGCGGAAGCAGCATGCAAAATCGCTCGCCGCTGCACGGGATCGGAGGGCTCCACGGAACGAGTAAATCCGTAAGCCATGAGCCTCGCCAAGAAGGTCAATTCTTCTCGGCGATCATGCCCTTGCTCGTTAATTCTGGTCATAAAGGAGTCAAGACTCACTGGAGCAGCCGAGCTTGGCTGATTGGTGGCGCCCGAAGTGGTGTCGTCCGGCAAGCTCGGTGGACCAGGAAGGCGCACGCGAGAGGACTCTGCCGACTCCGCGTCAGACTCATGGGAAGTTGTCAGGTCAACCAGCCCAGCTTCATGCCGGTCGCTGACCCCACGAGTACCGACGGGTCGAGGAATCGACTCAGCTGGCACGCCTTCACCTCGACGAGGAGTTGGAGAAGAAGGATGGTGCCACGGGTTGTGCTGGAACAACATGCGAAGAGTAAGGAGCTGCCAAGTGAGTGACAGCGGAAGCAACGAACGTACCAAAGAAGGTGGTGGGGAGCCGCGAGACGTCATCAGCCGAGTACGGACCAACGGTGGCAGAACAAAATGAAGGATTAAGACACTCACCAGCTCGGCTCGTATCATAACCGGGGCAGTTGTGGTGTAGAGATTTCCAGATTCGACCATACGCCGACCTACTTTAGGTCAAGAATCGGCTCGGTCTGATAGCCCAGAGCTTAGGAGCCAAGGATCACGGTAAGTACTCGGCGATCTGTCCGGATATGCTATCCGGACAGCCGCTGAGCATAACGGACGCCGGAACTCAGCTGAAGGGTCGGTAGAGATCCGAAACGACTACATTTCATTAGATATTTGTATGAGAAGCATATGATTAAATAGGGGGAGCCGAAAGGGCTCCCAGAAGATAACAGAGCAGAATTTTCCTAGTCCAAGACACGTGTACACTTTTCCGGTAAGTCCCTGCATAGGGCTGGATTATGCCTGCCGTCAATACTCGAGAGGCATAGCTTGTAGGGTATTGACTGGTAGCGCCAAGAGATTAGGTCGGTCCGGGTAGGACAAAGTCTCGCTACGCGCGAAAGAAAGTCCCGCATACTCAGCGGGCCGGTACGTCGGATAGCCCGGGTGCCGTAACACTTCTAGCTGAGCTGCCTCTGCGCTCGGTGACCTGTAAAAGCGCTCGCGCGCCGTCGTCCATTCTTTGGAGGAGGGCACAGGGTTGTGAACGAGCTCAGCCGAACCAAACTCGGCGGAGCCTCGGAAGTGATCTGACTTGGTTAGTCGGAACCGGGTGGAAGTGAGCCACTCGTCTGTCCCGGAAGGGTCGGACCGCGAGGGAACCACCCTCTGCGCAGGCCATACAAACCGCCGACCTAACTCGGCGATTCGTTGTGGTTTGTGTAAGGAATCCACATCTGACGATATTTGTGTGTTCTACTACACCACAACGTCGTCGTCTCATCCTTGGCCAAGCAAAAGAAGCGACGTTTCGGTCTCGACGACGTTCGAGCGTGGCTTGTACCCCCCTCTGCTGACGATGATCTGTCTGATAGTGAGGCCGATCAAAACGCGGAAGAGAAGCTTGACGGCGAGAAGCAGCACCACGTTCGCAAACTGCTGAACTGGAAGCGCGAAAATCGCAGAACGTACTACCTGGTGGAGTGGGAGCCAACGTGGGAGCCGCGCAAACATCTAAACCGCACCGTAGTCGCTGCCTTTGAAAAGGAGCGCCGCCTACTTGTTCGCAAGACCTTCATTGAAGACGAGGCTGTGAAGGACAACACGCTGAATAACACCGAGGCATAAGAAACGATAAGGGATAGGGAGCTAATACAGGGTGTATTACGTGTTTAGTCTCAATAGCTAGTTAGTATACAGTGGTAGTATTGAACACTAAGCTTAACCTCCAAATGGAACAGCAAAGTTCACCTCGTTACGATCCAAACATGAATTTAAGTGCAGCGCTAAACACAAAGCTTATCTCCATTCGGAACGGCAATGTTAACCTCAACGCAAGCTAGCACACCACGCATAAGGAGCAGAGGCGGCTGCATATCGCACATAGACACATATACAAACATGAAGAGAACCATGAGGTCCGGGTCATGAAATGACTTGAGCACTGCGAGGAAAAAATCGATAGTGAGCCTCTGGTGGAATTTGCGGCTGCACAAGCCACTCATTTGAATAAAACCCTGGCTGTGGGGTTTTATCTACGTAGCCAGTGATTTTATGGTGTAGTTACACATAGCGTTGTCGTAAAAAGGGCTCCGATTCTTGGGTGGGGCCCTCGTTAGTCAATTTGCCGTGGCGAGTGCACAAGCCTCCCGGCCTAAAACATGCATAAATAGAAAATATCTGTTTTCTCGGCCCACAGGCCGTTTTAGCGCCTGTGAGTCCGGCTGCATACTTGCCTACAAACGGCCTCAAACCGTCTTTTTGCTTACAACAGATCTCAATTTAGCTCCCCTACCCTAACACAGTGCTCACACAACTTTACGTAAATTAACATAAATGTAGACTGACTTTACCCCCGTCGGAGAAAATCGGAGGTCGGAGATTTTATGTTATGGGGGCGTGTGAAAAGCAGAATTGCTCGACGACCTGCGGACAACTTAACAGATCTTTCAGCTAAACTTACGACTGAGTTTGGACGCATCAAGTCAAAGTATTGGTGTAAGTACTACAAGCGTGTTCTACGATTTGAGCGCAAGTACATGGCAGCCCTGGAAGAGTGTGAGCTTGTCGACGAGGAGGAGCTTTGTGCTGTAGCTGATGAGGAAGATGGCGAGTAATCTCTCTTTAAATTTATACAAATCCTAGTTTTTAATTTTGAACTTTTTTATTCTTAACGCCTGTTTGCACAACTGTTTTTCACTTTCCACACTTAACCAATAGAATATCAGCATTATAGCAACTGTTTCCCCGTTTAAATGTCCTCGGAGACACCGTTTTGGGGAGCCTGTAGCGACAAAACTACTGCGAATTAGCATGTTTTAACACCAAATTCATACTCAAAATGGGCGGTTTTATCACATATCTAAATGTCATATCTGAAAATTGAGCCCACCATGGGGCTTTGATTACTAGCCCCTTTATTTTCTGCCGCTACAATAGCTTAACGATTTTGAAGTTACCAGTAACCCCTGGTCTTTAAGTCGATGTCATCTAAATGAAAGATGTTGATACACTTCCAGCTTTTTCAAAAGTGTCATTTTTACAAATTTGAAAATATTTAGTTTGAATTTCTTTGACTACTTTTAGTCTATCTGCTTTTAGTAATATTAAATTTTTGAGTTTCTATCTCGCACGCTAAAATAAAAAATTAAAAAAAATGCTAAGTACGGTAAAGAAAAATGTTTTTCTTAAGGTCTTAATTTGTTCTAAGAATTTTTTGTATCTCATCACAAATTAATAATTGGACAGTTCAAATACCGGTAAGAACCGTAAAAGCTTAGGCTGTGAGTTAATTTTTCTCTATTTCGACAAGGGAAAAAAATGGCAGCTGCGGTGGCTGCGAGCTTCTCGGAGCTCAACGCAGCAGTCAAGCGCGAGAATTACTCGCGTGCCGTGGACATCTGCAATAAGAGTGCGGCGAATCGAGAAATGTTAAGTAGGTAGGAGGGGGGATGCTGCGTTTCTGACATCCAACGGTGTGTTTGGCAGTCCGCTCCAAGTTTCCGGATGACATAGACGCCGTCAAAGTCAAGTGTGTGGCACTCATTCGTCTAGAGAAGGTTAGTGTGTTTCTAGTTTGTTGTTGGAGGCTGTCCGAGCTTCTAGGCTCACGTCGCTCTTGTTTTAGCTCGACAAGGCCTTGGAGCTGGCTGTGAAGTATGACTTCCTAAGTATGGAGAAGGCATATTGCCTTTACCGCCTCAAGCAGGACGACGACGCGCTGAAGCTGCTGGAGGGAGGAGACTTGGAGACGCAAAACACTCCACAACTGCATCTGGCGGCGCAGTTGGTGCGTTGATTGCTACATTACTATTATGTAGGAAGACTCAGGGGGTCTGACGCTGTTTTTATGCTGACTGTGCAGCACTTCCGTAAAGGAAATTACGACCAGAGTATCCGCATCTACGAGCTGCTGCTCTCGCGTGGTCAGGAGGTGTGTAGAGCATCAGGTCGTCGATGAGCTTCCCTCTGACAACTCTTTGGGTAATGGCTACGCTTTGCAGGGCGACGACCTTCTGGAGCTGCAAACTAATCTGCTTGCGGCGTATGCAAGTGCGGGGAAAAGTCAGGAGCTGAAGGATCGCGAGATTCCTGTGCGTATTTTCCCGAACGAGCATTGTTGCAGTCAGAATGCTGTCTAATACTGCTGGGTTTGCGTATGTTTCACTGCCACAGATCGATGATGGGTTCGAAGTGGCCTTTAACAAGTCGTTTGTGGCTATTCAGTCGGGTGATTGGGAGGCGGCGGAGGAGCTCTTGCTGACTGCTGAACGTGAGAACTGCGTTTAATCTTGGTAGAGGGGGGGGGCTGTGTTAACGTATAATACTTGACATCCTGATTCATGACAGGCTTGTGCCGCGATACGTTTGGGGCTGAGGGTGCCACGGAAGCCGAGATTGAAGAAGAAGTGGCTGTCATCAAGACGCAACTGGCATTTGTGAAGCAGATGCGCGGCGATCTGGACGGTGCTCTGTCGGACTACCGCGACGTGCTAAAGCTGAAGTATGTACTCCAGTTTTTCTGGACACTTCCAGCTGTAGAAAGTGACGTGTGACGGCTTTTGTTTGCCAACTGTTGCTGTGTTGCGGCTGTGCAGGCTACGCAACCGAGCTGTGGGTGCTGTGGCTTCGAACAATATCGTGACGATCCGCAAGGACCGCGACGTGCTAGACTCATTCAAGCGACTGAAGAACATTGACGCGTCCGTGCTGTCTGACAAGCTGAGCTCAGTCCAGCGAGAGGCCATCCTCACGAACCGCGCGCTACTGTTATGTCTGTTGAACAAGGTGCGCCCAGTTGTATAGCTGGAGTTTTATCAGAACCAATGATGTAAAACACTTACTTCTTCGCTCGGATCCACCAGACGGAAGATTGTCGCGACAGTTTGGAGACGTTGAAGAAGCAGTTCCCCTCGTCGAAGTCAATTGCTGACATTGTAGTATTGCTGGCAATCAAGAACCAGTCGGCGACTGGCGCGATCGAGCAGCTCCAGGTAGCAAACGCCATACCCGTCAGTGTGTTTCTGTTAGTGGTTGGACTGACTATACTTTATGGGGATCTCACGTGCTCTTAGGGCGACATGAGCGTTGGTGGTCGTCTTGGTCTCGCACACGTCTACTTAACTGAAGGGCAAGTAGTGAAGTCTGCCGAGTGCATTCGCTCGATCGAGCAGCTGGCGCACTCCCCCGGTACGGTGGCTACCCTTGTCGCCCTGTACGAGCAGGCAGGCGACTCAGCATCGGCACAAGCCGTGTTGGAGAGCGCACTGGCCCACCACAAGGCTGGCGACTACACGTCTGAGCAGGCTATGAAGATTCGTGAGGGTGACTGCTGGTACAAGATCCAGAAGAAGCAGTACCGCGAGGCTGCCGATGCGTACTTGGAGCTGCTTGAAGGCGAGACTGCGGGCACTTTGGACCGCGATCTTCGCCTTCGCTCTATGGCCTCACTGGTTGTCGCTCTGTAAGTTGTCTGCGAATATTGTGCTGTTTTCTTTAATTCGACGTGGCTCTAACTCCCATGTCATTTACGCAGGTCGTTCTGTGATGCTGAAGCTGCTGAAGCTCGGTGCGCCATGCTCCCCGCTGTTGAGGAGAGTGGTGTTGATCCGAGCGAGCTGGAGAAGCAAGTTCCGCGCTCGACCCGATTGGCTGCCAAGTTCGCAGACACTGGCGACAAGAAGAACGAGTACGTGCTGAACTCTGGCTACGTTTGTCTGGTGTAGACAGCTCATTATTGTTTCTTTTCTAACCTATGCAGACGCAAGCGCGCCGCGAAGAGTCCAGAGGCGATTGCCCGCAAGCGTGCCAAACGTAGGGAGGCACATCTGGCCAACCTTCGTGCTCGTCCGGACTACAATGCGTCCATTGGACTTGTAAACCCGGACCCGGAGCGCTGGATTCCGCGCAAGCAGCGCTCGCACGGCAAGCGTGGTCGTCGCGGCCGCAACCGCTTTGTCGGCGCTCAGGGAGCTGGTATGGGCACGGAGAAAGATGCTCTCAAGCTTGATGCAGCCGCTCGTGCTGCGCGCAAGGCGGAATCGGACAAGCCTGCAGCTGTCGTGGTGACTAGCAGCTCTGGCATTCGCAAGTCCAAAAAGAAGAAACGCAGATAAAGGGAGCGTTAGGGCCCTAGATGAAGTCGCTGGCCCAGTCACAGCGGCTTGCAGAGTAGACGAACTGAGCTACCTTTTGCCAATACAGAGACAAGCCTGTTCCTGTCCTGCAGCTTGTGGTCTGAATGGTCTAGTGTTAGTGCTGTTTTATCACCTTCCTACTCGTGTTGCTTTACTACGTCTATCCAGCGTCAGCGCTCCTCTGAGTTCCACCAGCACAATTGTTCTGCCGATTCCAAAAGAGAAGATGTTGCTGGTCTCCACGAGTCAGAAGTAGCCACACTGTCTAGACTGTGGTGAAGCTGGGTGCCTTCTCACGCAGATAGAAAAGTTTTGCACGACGTACGCGCTTCTTGCCTTTGTGGATAAACGCCTCCTGCAATTTCTTGACGCTCTGAAGCAGAGGTGAGTGCAGGAAAATCTTCTGCTCGTAGCCGTAGCCGCCAATGTGCTGAAATACACAAACCAGTCAGTCTCTCGTTATCAGCACTGTACGAGGTCGCTATAAGAACAGGCTTACGTTGCGAATGACGAAGGAACTGCCCGTGCCACGGTTTCGCCGCGCAAGCACGACGCCCTTGACGCGCTGTACGCGGCCGCCCGTACGGCTCAGCAGGTATTGCACCTCGACTGAGTCACCGGGCTTAAAGTTGTCAATGTCCTTTCCCTCCGAGGCCTTGGCCACGGCTTCCGCCTCCAACTGCTGCAGCAACGACGCGGCGCGTTTGGTTGGGATCTTGAGCTTGGTGCGCTTGGGCTTCTCAGCTGCAGGCGTCGCGGCAGTGGCTGTCTCTGTGGAAAAGAAAGAGAGCTGTGCGCTGATAAGCGGTGCACGGCGCGATCCGGCGGCGCTGGCGACGCGCGCGAAGCTCTTCGTAGCGGCGGCCAGCATAATCCGGAATCCAAGTTGCGTTCTGCGGTCTGCGGAGCTCGATGGCCACAATGGGTTGTGTTGTATACATAATCATTTGACAAAATTCAAAAACAATTTAGAACAGCTTTAAACTTTTAAGTGTAAAAGCTTTTTCTACTGTTTTAAATTTTGTAAAAGCCAATCTAAAGTTTTTTTCTAGGACAGCTTGACAGCCTAACCAATTTTATTACATCTGTTTAAATTGCATAAAGTCTTATCTTAAAAAAAGCAAGTAGATGTACTTGGTGAATACTCTGGACTAAGCTTAACACGCAGTATCTCGCGAAACTGCAGCTACGTGTGTGTTCTTTTTTTTGCAATTTAGTACTCGGCATTTTAATTCATGTTGTCAGCTCAGAATTTTTCTTATACTTCGAAGTATCGACTTACACCGCTCTGTCCAAATCGTCGCTGTTGTCACTGTCGCTGCTGATGAGCGCACGCTTCAGTTCATCTGTTGCTGGGCTCTTTTCGCCGGGGTAAATAGGCTTACGATTGTTCCAGGACTCCATCAATTCCTCCAGGAAGCGGTAAACGAACAGCCCCATCATGATGAACAGCAAACCTGCGATGTCCTTTGCGTGCAGCGGCTGGTGCTCCGGCATGAACGGAAACGTGAACGCGACGTTGCCGAGTGGAACCATAATGGTCATGGCCTGTTGAATACACGTAAGAAAAAGTTTGAGTTTTGACTATACCAACAAAAACAAGCAGCCACTTACTAGCCAGAGGATGTTGGCGCTGCCAAACTTGAGGATCAGGATAATCAACAGATTATAGGCCACGTTAAACAGCAGATAGGCCGTCACGTAGACGGTCGCCTTCTCGCAGTCATCTTTGTGCGCACCCTCAGTGATGGTATTCTGTCCCAAGTAGCACATCAGACCGTCGTGCAGGTTTTCCGGAAGTTCGCGAGGGGTGACTGGGTGATCTCCGACCATCGCAGCGGGAAATGTCAGCGGAATTGAGAACAAGAACTGGAACACAGCAATCCAGCCATTCAGGAAAACCGCATCTAACTCCGCCTCCCCAAGCGCCTTCTCTTTGTAAACGCTGGACAAGCACATGGGGACGCAGCTGAAGATCATGACAACAGACCATAGCACCATGAGGTGTGGATCTGTGCCCGTGCTGCCACTCGAGCCACCATAACCCAACACGATCAACAGACCCAGGGTCACAACCACTGCACCTACATATTGATACTTTGAATACTTGGCCTTGAGCAGCAGACTGGAAATAAGCATCGAGATAGGAATCGCAGCTTGTCCAAGCAAAATTATGAGTGATCCGCCTAGGTAGGTGGCTGCAAAAACTTGCAGGATGCCGGCGACCGAGTCAAGTCCTCCCATGACAGCGAACTTGCGTTTTGGGATGCTGCGCTGGTCCCACGTGATGGCACTACCGTACTTGATCATTGGCAGGATGTATGCGAAACTGATGGGGATCTTTATACAACGTCAAAAAAATAAGCGTCTTATCTAACTCAACGCAATACCAGTAGACGCAGCACGTACGTAGATGAATGTGGTGAGCAGGTTGAGGAACGTTGGATAGTTGTGCATCGGGATGGTCTGCAGTCTGTCAGCAAAAGAGAGTCATAAAGGGCTAGAGTAGCTAGGTCAAGCAATAAAATCTCACTTCTGGAAGACTTGTCATAAAAATGAGGAGAGCATTACGTCAGTGTGAGCAGTATAAGCAGCATCTTTTTACATAGATTAGATTAATCCACGAACTCTTGTTGCCGAGGCCCACGAAAACCATCGCCACAAAGCTCACGAGGAGCTTTACATCACGCTCTCCTTCCTCCCTCGTCGTCATTTTTTTTCCTTCTTCGAGTGAAATGAATCTTCAAGAATACCTGGTACAGTGTACCCATCTCAAAATACAAGTGACTACAGTACTTGTACTGCACACCGGAGACCATGGGCGTGGCTGTTGTGGGCGTCGTGTTCCTGACGTCGCTAGTGGTCACGGGTTGGACAGGTGTGGCCTGGATATTGACCCCATGTTTCTTGCTGGCGGCTCTCCCACTGCCGGCGTTTCTACAGACCAAACGCTTCTATCGCCGCGTCACTCGCTTCATGTTCGTCGGAATACTTGCCAAGAAGCAAGAAAAGCTGGTTACTGAATTGAATGGTGCTGATGCATTTATTGGAGCAGACAATGGGCGTGGATGGGCCAAGTGGTGCTGCTTCTTGGTACGCAGGGGAATAGTTACCGGTGCTTGAAGCTGCTACTGCTAGACGCTCACAATGTATTCTGCAGAGAAATTGTTTGGAATCCAGGTTCGAGTGCTCGGCGATGCGGAGACGAAAGCTCGTGAGAGCGAATTATCGAAGGATCGAGCGCTATGGCTGTCAAACCACCGCACTCGTATCGACTGGATGCTGCTGTGGAGCGTCGCGTGGCGGACGCGGACGCTGCATCAGTTGCGGATCGTCTTGAAGGCCCCATTACGGAAAATGCCCATCTTCGGGTGGGCCATGCAGCACTTCATCTTCATCTTTCTGGTATTAGTGCCACGAGAGGAGATTGCTGAGCTCCACTAACAATTGTTCTTACACACGCAGCAACGCCGTTGGGCTGATGACCAAGTGAATTTGCGCAAGTTGTTGCCATTCCTCACGTCGACAGAACCGGAGGCTTCCTATCTCCTTTTCCCCGAAGGCACCGATCTGAGCGAGAGTAACCTCGAAAAGAGTGCTGTATTTGCAGAGAAGAAAAGCCTTTCACCTCGTCAGTACTCGCTGTACCCACGCACGACGGGTTGGACATTTATGTTCCCACTGCTGCGCTCACAACTTACCGCTGTGTACGATGTCACCATGTTCTACGTGGACTATGCCGCTAACGAACGTCCATCGGAGTCGTCACTGCTTACCGGTCGTATGCCGCGAATGATCCATTTCTACATCGAGCGAGTGGACATCTCGGTTTTGCGTGACAAAAGTGAGACTGACTTAGCGGCCTGGTTGGAAAAGCGCTTCGAACGTAAGGAGTCTTTGCTCAAGGCCTTTTACGAGGACAACGGCAAGCTTCCTCATGGAGCCGAACCTCTCTTTCAAGAGAATCAAGGTACTGCGATGGTGATGCTGGTGGCGTTTTGGCTCATATCCATTGGTGCTGCCACACTCCTTGGATTGATTGGCAACTTCATCTCGGTCATTGCTGCGCTGGCGGTTGTAGTTGGATACGCCACCAACACGGCATATGGGCCTGGCGTGGACGGGTTTCTCATAAACAACTCGTAGATAGAATCTTTAGCGATTTTACTTTTATACAGATTGGTATGTACGCTTGCTTACAATGAGTGAAAACAAATTGGAGAATAAAACTAGCAAGCACTACCTTCGAACACGAGTTGGTGACGGCGGCAAGGCCGTAGAAGTATTCACGAGAGAAGAGGCAGCCGAGCGACCACCTGCACTGAGCGTGATCCACGAATGGCCAAGAGCTTGGGCTGCTGTTATTCGCTTCCTCGGATCCTTCTCTAGTAGCCGAATCAAAAGCTGTTTTACCTCTGGAGATGCCTTTGGTCTACTGGGAAACTCCAACTCCTGGTGCGTACAAGCACTGGGTGGGTAGAAGGGTCCGTATCCGAACACCATCTCGAAAAGCATAATGCCAGCGCTGAACATGTCAATAGGAGGCCCGTACGATGCCTTACCATCAAGTAATTCAGGCGCAATGTAGCCAACTGTACCGAAGATGCCAGCAAATGGCAGCGAAGTATCGTGACCACCGAACGCTCGCGAGGCTCCAAAGTCGCACAATTTAATCGTAGCGCCATCATCGTCCAACAGAACGTTGTGGGGCTTGATGTCATGGTGAACGATGTTATTGCCGTGTAGATACTCAAGAGCAAGCAACAGCTGCCGAAAAAACTCTCGACACTTGTTCTCTTCGATGCCTGACTGCTTTTCTTCGGGTGAGATCAAAATGTACTTTGGCACGATTTTCACCGCAACCTCCTCGAGAGAAGACTTGTCTTGTCCAGAGCAAACCTTACCGTAGGCTCCCGCAGCGAACGACTCGCGGATGAGGTAACGTCCATGCATCGCCTTCTCACGAGGAGTGAGCAACGCCGAGCTTTCTGATGCCGTGCGCATGCGTGGGCTTGACACACTTTTTCGTGAGGATCCAGACCGCATTATTCCCGGTGGTGCACGTATGCTACCTTCACTTTTCGGAGGCGGCTTTGAGCCGCCATCTTTACCATTACCGGTAGAATGAGCTGTGAACGAGCTGAACGAGCTGTATTCGCTACCGGCACTACTTTTACTCGTGGCAGCATCGTCGTCCTCCATCAAGTCGCTTATGTTGATGCGCATGCTTTGGCTCTTTTTCGGATAGGCCGCCGCCATCGACACTGAGCGACGGCGACGCGTAGCTGCCAGTCTCGCCTCTTCAAAGCTCAGTGCACGTAGGTAGCGGTGGTCGCCAGCATTCCGCTGTTGGAACCAGGACGGGTCGACGCCGCAACGAACTCGATTGCAGACGACAATGTCCTCCTCCAACACACTAAATTTGCGTAGGAACAGTAGTTTCTTGCCGTTGTGGCGCTTGGTGTGCTGGTTTTCGGCATCCACGGCAGCAGCGCCCATCTGGGACGTCGGGTGCTCGGGTTTGCTGTGCGAGCGCTGTAGAGTGGAGCCGCTACCAAGACGCACCATAGCTACGTCGTGCGCCGAGAGATCCAGCGGTGACTTAGCGGGTGGTGCCGTGTGCAGCATGCGGACTGAGTCGTGGCTCATGATTGGGAAGTGACCAAGCGAGTCGATAAAAAAAAGCAAAAGCCTCGTGGCCTCGACTTCTATTCTGAGAATGGCTGAGTTTGTCGAGCGCAACGCTTCGGTAGGAGATTTGGAGTTTGTAAGAGGATCCGTCGCGTATCAACACGCCAAGTTGAAGGACGGGCAAAAGCTGTGCCGGACCTGCTTTCATCGAACGTCGTATTGCTGTCCTGGAGGCGCATGACATCGTGTTCTTGGACCACAAAGTGACTCGACACGCGATCATAAAACTTCACGTACATCAGTAGAATCGTCTACCTCTATTATTACTGCTACTGCAGCTAGGCACTACTCCATGCTCATCGATGGGTAGGAGTTCGTACGCTGCTTCATCGACATCGTCGTCAAACAGAAGTCCGGGCACGTCTAAAGCGGTGGAAAACTGGAAGCGCGGAAGCACGTAGAACACATAGAGCACGCCCCAGTTCGGTACGAGGTACGATCCAATGGAGATCGTCAAGCGCGTCGACTGCTCAAAGAGCCCACCGTTTTCGTCAAAGAACATGCTGTCGCACTCTCTTTGCTTGCCTGTAAGTGTCAGCATTAGCGCATTTCAGTTTCCCCACCACGGAACAGACCAACAGAACTTACCACCAACGCTAAAGGAAAGATACGCGTCTACTACGAGCTGCAAGCTTGTGCTCACGAGGTTACACTGTTAGCATAAATGCGTAAGCATCAAAAGTCGGTTGGGATCTTGGCAGGTGCACGTACGATCAGGAGAATCCACAGCTGATGATTCGACTGCTCCAACTCGGTTAACGCAGCGCAATCCTGAAACTTTTTGAGCTGGAGTGGGTATCATGTGAGAAAACCTTAAAAGAAAACAAATACACACACACAGCTCAGCGTTGACCGTACCTGTTTTCGTGCGGTGGAGTTGATCTCCTCTAGAACGACTCGACCTGGAATAGCAAAGCCAGCTACCCACAGCAACTCGCTGTCAGTATTTGGCAGATCATGATTGCTTTTAAAATCAAACAAACCCGTGAGGACGACCGCTGTTGCCGACATGGCCATCCACGTAACATGGTGACAATCGATCTCGTCGTAGGCTCCGACAACAAGCAAAGCATCCGCCGTCATGGCGATCGTGGCAAGTCCTACAATCGGGATCAGCATGCTGTAAAACTGTCGAATGGCAACAGCAACAGTTTATGATCAACATCCTCGACATCTTTTGAGAGCACCCTCTCAGTCTTACCAGTTTCGTTCTGCTAACAAGTTCCCCGGCGGATTTCCCATACAGCACGCAGGAGATGACTATTTGCACACATCGAAAGTACTTGGCTAGCACGAGGATTTTGGGGCTATTGGTGATGAAGCACTCGTAGACCAGCAGCGCCATCTGGATCCCCGCCAGTGCCAACATACTGAGGTTGGTGACATACCATTGCGAGCTCAGGAAAATAGGTAAGATTCGCTGGAAGGCGTAGGCAGTCGCGGCTAGCGTTCCGAGACAGAAGGTGCCGAACGTCAGGCTCCGTGCGCAAACTAGCAACGCATGCTCCGTGTTGAAGACCTCGTAGCAGTCCGGCAGCATGTGCGAGGTAGAAGAGGCGTCCCGAAATAATGACATCGTATCTTTTGCTGTATTATTTTATGAGGGTTTTCATGTAGCCATTTCTACACTCGATCGTTGAAGTAGGCATGTCAGTTTCAAGTTGCGCCAGTGCGGTGGGCGCGGTTACAGCTGAATTCTCTTCGAGCCTCCGCAGCAACATGTTTTCACCCGGATCGAAGGACTACGATGTGCGCACTCCCGCGTTCGTGCACGATATCGCCGAAGAGGGTTCAGACATGACGCGCGAGATCTACAGCGCTGCATTGAAGGACTCTCATGACGGAATGGTTCGCACCAAGTCATTGCCGGACGTGAGTGAGGTGCTCTACAAAGACGTCGGTTCGTGATGAGGCCAGATCGCTAGAATTGGATGAGGGTCTGATGCCCTGTGTGTGTTCTGCTATGACAGGAAAGGCGTCGGACATTGCCCAGCCAGGAGGTTTCAGGCGCGACCACGTCATTGCTAATTTGCCTGCTGGGGATAATTCTCCACCGATCCACGTGCAAAACGCGTTCCTGGCATCCATCAAGCCGAACAATTTGCTTCAATCTACCTATTGCGGCTTCGTTAACGAAACGCTGCATCTCGGCGACGAGTACAGCCAAAATGTGCGCACATTTCATGCAATGATGTCACATTCTCAGTTTCTAAACGTGATCGGTGTATGCAATCTTGAGCAAGCAGGAAGAGCTGATCCCGTTATTCAGCAGCCTCGACACATTCCATACGGAGACGGACGCGACCCCGACAAGAGGAGCGTCAGTCAAGCAGACAATTTTTACGATTTTCAAGTCTTTTATCGGGAGTGGAATTCTGTTCCTGCCGAAAGGATTCCAGAACGGAGGCATGTTGTTTTCGATCGTGGGACTCTGTGTGTCTGCAGCACTCTCAACATTCTGCATGTTGCGCCTGGTCGAGTGCTCGACTGTGCTTCTCCATACCCACAACCACCTCAATGTCTCGTACGGTATCGTGGGAGAGCAAGCTTTTGGCACCTTCGGCCGACGTGCAGTGAACGTGTCGTTAGTGCTCTCGCAGATCGGATTCTGCTGCTCGTACCTTATATTCGTTGAGAAAAACATTGGCGAGGTTGTACTGCACGCGTTCAACCTCCAGAGCTCAAGCACGACGTCATCGTGGACGCTAATTCTGCTTCAGATTCCACTGTACACCCCACTAGTGTGGGTGCGTCGTCTGGAGTACTTTGCTTTCACGAGCTTATTTGCAGACGTGCTCATTGTATTCGGTCTTGTGTACATTCTCACTTACACCGCCAAGACACTTGAGAGCGCAACTCCTGGTGAATCGTCATGGCAGTACTTTAACTCCGAAAACTGGGCGATGTTTCTTGGCGTTGCTGTCTACTGCTTTGAGGGTATCGGGCTGGTGCTGCCTACATACGATGCCATGGACGATCAAATCAAATACAAGTTTCCGGCCATCTTGTCGTGGTGTGTAGTGTGTATCCTGGTCATTTGCATTCTGTTTGCTGGCACGGTATATGCGGCTTTTGGGCAGAACACGCAATCAGTGGTGACGTTGAATCTCCCCAGTTCGAGTGAGAGTACGGGAACAATGGCTGTGCAGCTGACATATTCCCTGGCACTGGTACTCTCGTACCCTTTGATGCTATATCCAGTGATCAACATCCTCGAGAACAAGTTGTTTCCGTACCAGCGTGTCAAGGGATTCTGGCGGTGGCAAAAGAATGGCTTCCGCTTCGCGCTTGTCTGTTTAACTGCTGTCATTGGGTATTTTGGCAAAAACGAGGTACCGTATTTTAGAGTTGGGCTTGTTATATCGTCGATATATTAATGTGTTGTTTGTTACAGCTGGACAATTTTGTCTCCATCATCGGCGGATTCTGCTCTGTGCCGCTCGCGTTCATATATCCGTGCATTTTTCACTCAAGGTAAGCTATGAGATCCCGATACCAGAATACTGTGAGGAAACCTCTAACATTGTTGGTTTCAGTCTTGTTGGACGCGGGCATATTTTGAACGGTATCGTGGTCGTAATTGGCTTGTCCACAATGGTCTTCGCCACGAACCAAGCAGTTTCAACGTGGAATTGGTAGATAAGCTTACGCAGCGTATCATACGCTGCGAACTTGAAGTACCGATACCCCAATTTGCTCTGGCAGAAGCAATCGTTTACGAAATCTACAAAAAAACTATAATGTCCAGTTATTTTTTGCAAAAATTCATCTGCAGTTCATACTCATTCGTCTTCGAGGGCCGGCTGCTCAGGCATACCCTGAAGAGTTCGATGAGCAGCCGAAGCGAACGCTTCATCCATCATATGTTTAGCACGGCTGATACTGGGGTATTCTTGGCCTTCAATTTCTCCACATTTTATGGGCTGCAGCTGGCTGTTATATTGAGAATTATTTGCCGTTTTTCAATCGCATACAAATTTCCTGTATTTTTCAAACTGCCCAGAAGTCGCCGTATAGCGTACCTAAGTGGGTTTTCACTCAAGCAAGTCAATAACGGATATGCGCTACTGCGTGCGCGTTCAAACAAAAAAACGCGCGCAACAATGCAACCAATCGTGGTCACACGATGCATTCAAGTGATGGTTTCGAGTAATTTCGAAAATATTTAAAACGATTATGCTTGTGCAGTATTATAATAGTTGCGAAATTGCTCGACATAGATAAACAACCCTTGCTCGAAATAGATTGCCGCTATTCAGAATGCTAATCACGTGGTATTCTGCTCTGGCACATCTCTCTCAGGGGCTTCAAGGCTTTCTCAATAAGAGTGCACCCGTGCCCAGCCTGCTGCCTCCCTCTGAGAGGCGTGGTGGTTGACGTAGATGCGCGCCAGCATATCGACATTCTCTGCCGTCACTTGTTGAGCTTCTTGGAATGGATGGATCAATGATAGTTCATGTGCGCTCGCTTGCCGCCAAAGACGTCAGTATGGCAAATACGAGCTGGGAATCTCCCACAGCAACGGATACTTGCTTTGGTTTGAATACCACCAGTCTTGAGGATTCGCTCCCCCATATATCGCTCTCTTCGCAGCTGACCACCACCGCTAATCCGTAGCTGAGCAATTCAATGCTTGGCTGAACCGATTTCTCGCTACTCGTAGGCGCGTAATTATCTCAGTCCTTGCAGCAAATGCACATCCTTGCTCGATAGTATCACCTTCGTTGGATCTGACAAAACAATTCAGGTCAGTGTGGGGTCTAGGAGAAATGCCAACCCTGTAGCGTCAGTGTGCACAAAACCGATATTTCAACGCATGCGCTGATTGACGCTTGGAGGTTTGAATGTTCGGTCTCAATGCCTGGGTTAGCAACTCCTGAAAATCGAGAATACACGCGTGAGATTGAACAGTTGTCCGAATCGATTTCATGGGTTTCATCACGGGGTCAAATGACCCCACAATTTGCTCCAGCTTTTTCCAAAATCCCCTATTTTTGATAGTTTTCTCACTTAACGGTATTTTTGCTTTTGATGTTGGTCTCGCTGCAGAATTTTGAAATTAATTTGAAGCTGCGGCTCCAAAACAAATATTTAGCAACATCTTGTTCTCGAGCACCCGGGATAGACATGCATGGAGAGAATACCAACGTGTACTGACGGGGACAGTCAACTCTCTGCGATGTCCGTTGATAGCCTCGCTCAGCGTTGCTTGATGCTGGCTAAGCACGACGTGGTGGTCTCGGACATGCGTGGTGATAGCAAGTGCTTTGTTGTGAGCAGCTTCGAAGAAGTACAGCATTGAGCAAGTCTTCAACAATAAATTTAACAGGTGAGCAGAGCAACCCCCTGCAAATTAGTCGAGATCTCCCCCGTATTTCCCTCGCAGCCTCCAAAAAAAAGCAGCATTGCCAATCAGCATTCGAGTTTCTACGGCCCCTGTTTCCGCTCAGCTTCATCAATAGCTCTACTCAGATGCTCTGCCAAATACTTTGCCGTTTTTGATTCCGTGTCAAGTGTTAATGATAAACAGAACAGGGGCAACATTCCCGGAGTCACGACCACAAAGTTGATTATGGTTGAATAATCGTAAGTAGTCCAGAAATTTGCTACAATAGAGACAAATATTGGTGTGGCTGTTGGAGACGTGGATATAGCGGCAAAAGACTAGACGCGCGCTTAACGACCGAGCAAAGTCTGTAGAAGCAGCAAAAGAGCTGTTACTGCTAGCACTGGGCTCACGCGCGCAAAAGATAGCACTTGTTGGTCTCGATCCAACGACCTTTGGGTTATGAGCCCAACACGCTTCCTCTGCGCCAAAGTGCTAGCTCAAACGCAACATCTCCCACCGACACACGCAAACGCCCAGAATCAAACCATACGCAAACAGCCGCAATCGCACGCACGCACTCACCCCAATCAGACAACCAAAACAACCCTCTCAAGCCTTCGATAGACCCTTCGAACGTTGATGCCGACGGTGCACCTCGACAACGTCGCTGTCGTCTTCCAGCGCTTGTCGATGTTTTGGCAACGAAATCACCGCTCACACAACCCAACCGAACGTCCCAAAAGCCGTTCGAGCGTTCCAAAATGAAAACTACACCACCTTGAGCCGCTCGTCGCATCCGTTGCTTGATCTCGATGATCACTAAATAAAGACTTGTTTTTGGCGCTTGTGAATTGGTGTGGCTGTCGGAGACGGGGATATAGCGGCAAAAGACTAGACGCGCGCTTAACGACCGAGCAAAGTTTGTAGAAGCAGCAAAAGAGCTGTTACTGCAAGCACTGGGCTCACGCGCACAAAAGATAGCACTTGTTGGTCTCGATCCAACGACTTTTGGGTTATGAGCCCAACACGCTTCCTCTGCGCCAAAGTGCTAGCTCAAACGCAACATCTCCCACCGACACACTCAAACGCCCAGAATTAAACCATACGCAAACAGCCGCAATCGCACGTCAGCACCTCAGCCCAATCAGCAATTCCACATCCAAATCCACCCTCCTCAAGGCTTCGATAGACTCCTCGAACGTTGATGCCGACGGTGCACCTCGATAACGTCGCTGTCGTCTTCCAGCGCTTGTCGATGTTTTGGCAACGAAATCACCGCTCACACAACCCAGCCGAACGTCCCAAAAGCCGTTCGAGCGTCCAAAAATGAAAACTACATCACCTTGAGCCGCTCGTCGCATCCGTTGCTTGATCTCGATGATCGCTAAATAAAGACTTGTTTTTGGCGCTTGTGAATTGGTGTGGCTGTTGGAGACGTGGATATAGCGGCAAAAGACTAGACGCGCGCTTAACGACCGAGCAAAGTCTGTAGAAGCAGCAATAGAGCTGTTACTGCTAGCACTGGGCTCACGCGCACAAAAGATAGCACTTGTTGGTCTCGATCCAACGACCTTTGGGTTATGAGCCCAACACGCTTCCTCTGCGCCAAAGTGCTAGCTCAAACGCAACATCTCCCACCGACACACTCAAACGCCCAGAATTAAACCAAACGCAAACAGCCGCAATCGCACGCACGCACTCACCCCAATCAGACAATCCACATCCAAAACCACCTTCTCAAGCCTTCGATAGACTCCCCGAACGTTGATGCCGACGGTGCACCTCGATAACGTCGCTGTCGTCTTCCAGTGCTTGTCGATGTTTTGGCAACGAAATCACCGCTCACACAACCCAACCGAACGTCCCAAAAGCCGTTCGAGCGTTCCAAAATGAAAACTACATCACCTCGAACCGCTCGTCGCATCCGTTGCTTGATCTCGATGATCACTAAATAAAGACTTGTTTTTGGCGCTTGTGAATTGGTGTGGCTGTTGGAGACGGGGATATAGCGGCAAAAGACTAGACTCGCGCTTTACGACCGAGCAAAGTCTGTAGAAGCAGCAAAAGAGCTGTTACTGCTAGCACTGGGCTCACGCGCGCAAAAGATAGCACTTGTTGGTCTCGATCCAACGACCTTTGGGTTATGAGCCCAACACGCTTCCTCTGCGCCAAAGTGCTAGCTCAAACGCAACATCTCCCACCGACACACTCAAACGCCCAGAATTAAACCAAACGCAAACAGCCGCAATCGCACGCACGCACTCACCCCAATCAGACAACCAAAACAACCCCCTCAAGCCTTCGATAGACCCTTCGAACGTTGATGCCGACGGTGCACCTCGATAACGTCGCTGTCGTCTTCCAGCGCTTCTCGATGTTTTGGCAACGAAATCACCGCTCACACAACACAACCGAACGTCCCAAAAGCCGTTCGAGCGTTCCAAAATGAAAACTACATCACCTCGAACCGCTCGTCGCATCCGTTGCTTGATCTCGATGATCACTAAATAAAGACTTGTTTTTGGCGCTTGTGAATTGTTGTGGCTGTTGGAGACGGGGATATAGCGGCAAAAGACTAGACGCGCGCTTTACGACGGAGCAAAGTCTGTAGAAGCAGCAAAAGAGCTGTTACTGCAAGCACTGGGCTCACGCGCGCAAAAGATAGCACTTGTTGGTCTCGATATAACGACCTTTGGGTTATGAGCCCAACACGCTTCCTCTGCGCCAAAGTGCTAGCTCAAACGCAGCATCTCCCACCGACACACGCAAACGCCCAGAATTAAACCAAACGCAAACAGCCGCAATCGCACGCACGCACTCACCCCAATCAGACAATCCACATCCAAACAACCCTCTCAAGCCTTCGATAGACTCCCCGAACGTGATGCCGACGGTGCACCTCGACACGTCGCTG